CAAATATGCGGCGCTTGTTCCTTCCAAAAAGTTGTCGCTCATTTGCGACAACGGGGTGGGGGCCGGTGCTGGGGTCGATGACTTTGCGCCGTCTGTGACATGATAGTTTCTCAAACCAACAATGCTTTGAAGGGGTATACGGAAGTTCCTGCTGGCCGTACGTGCCAACAGAGGCCTGAGTGTTGATAAAACACTCATAGTGTTCCCGTGCTTAGTTTCGGTATTTTCTGTTTGCACGGAGTTCTCTTGCAAAATTTATGAAGAGCTGCAAGAAAGATGGGAAATGTGTGCCACAAGTGGAAATATCTTGATGAGGTCACGCACGAACTCGCGACGACGGATAGTCATACAGTAGAGCTCTACAGTAGTCTCTACGAAGTCACAGGATTTACCGATTAACTGACCAAAAGAAAGATATTTATGATTGTTGATTCCCGATTCACTCTCGACTCTCTCTGCTCGACTGTTGTCCACTCTCGTCTGACAGTTCAGTCGAGTGCCGACTGCTGGTCTGCTCTCGACTGCGACTCTCGTCTGCACTCTGACTCTCGCGACATTAGATTACAGTACTCTAATGTTTAACTATCATTGGTTAACTATGACTAACTTTGACTATCTGTCATATTTGATATTAAATTATGACAGGGGTGTCAGCGGGGGTCTGTAAGGGCCGCCAGGGGGTCCAAAAATAAGTTTTGGCCGTTTTAATCGGCCGTGGAGGCCCCCCTATCGTGACCCCCCTAATTTTTGTGTGCATTCAGGGTTTAGGGTTTAGGTTTGGCAGAATTATGTCAGAATTATGTCAGAATTACGTCAGAATGTGTCATAGTGGCGGCTACGCCGCCGCCGGTGCCGGTGACTGTGGAATTTGAATATGTCTTATGTGTTAAATATGGGCGTGCTATAAGAAACGGCGCGGCCTTAAATTACTATATTTATATATTTTTTTTTCATTTAATAAAATTTAAAAAAGGGAGGTGGGAGGTGGGAGGTTGCCGTTTTCAGAAAGTATTTTAGAAATTAAATAAACAATTTGATATATTTCATTGTCATTTGAAAAAACTTTCAAAAAAGTAGCACCGCCCACCCCAACCTCCCTTTTTTCAAAAATAGATTTAATGAAAATGAAAAAATAAATTCAATAAAAATGCACTTTAAGACAACGACTTATATGAGTATAACTTGAAGCAAATCAAGTATGGAATCCGAGCGAGACATAAATATGCAAAACAATTGTATGTTTTGGCGAAGAGGCATTTTGGGCTTAAAAGGAGGTGTAAAACCACCAAACGAAGTAATAGAGTATTTAAATAAAGAAATTCCCGGATTGGCAAGAATACGATTGTGGTTTTGGAAATAAAAACCGCGGAAGAGTGTGTGCCCGCGATGAATGCAGCGATGTCGATGTTAGAGTTAAATGTTGTGCAAAGTGCAAAAAAATATATTATTGTTCGAGAGAGTGTCAAAAAATGGATTATAAAAGACACAAGTTAGAGTGTAACTAAATAAAATGGAACAAAAAAACTTAATCGGTGTGCGGAACGGCGCAGTCTATTAATATATCTATTATATATCTATCATTTTTCAACAAAAGAATAATGAAATAGAAAAAGGGAAGTGGGAGGTGGAGGTTGGGTAATTTCAAAAAGTATTTTAGAATTCACATAAATATATCATTTCATTTTATTGTCATTTAAAAAACTTTTCCAAAAAGTAGCACCGCCCACCGCCCAACCTCCCTTTTTATGAAAAATGGGATAGTAAGAAGATGTAAGTAAATGATAAGTAAATCACACACTAATGATTTGTTTTGACCACGCAACATATTCACCACAAGAAATGGGTATCAAATTTTGGGTTTTACTTATCCTATCACAACAAACAATATATCGTTGTGTTCGTCTATGAAATACCTATATGTATGCAAAGTTTCAGCCGGAAAGACCTCTTGACTCAAAAGTTATTCACATATCAAGAAACCCTATTATTTTCGGTGTGTATATCACCACAAGAAATGGGTATCAGATTTTGGGTTTTACTTATCCTATCACGACAAACAATATATCGCTGTGTTCGTCTATGAAATACCTATATGTATGCAAAGTTTCAGCCGGAAAGACCTCGTGACTCAAAAGTTATTCACATATCAAGAAACCCTATTATTTTCGGTGTGTATATCACCACAAGAAATGAGTATCAGATTTTGGGTTTTATTTATCCTATCACAACAAACAATATATCGTTGTGTTCGTCTATGAAATATCTATTTGTGGTTTTTTTTTCATTGAAAACGGCCAAGTATTTCGAAAGTTATTCACGTATCAAGAACCCCTCTTATTTTCGGTTATCTCCATACGCAATAGAAAATGATACCAGTTTTGACGTTATATTGCTTCAATCCCGACAAACAACATATCACTGTGTTCGTCTACGAAAGACCTATTTGGAACACCAAACTTTATTTGAATTGGTTAAGTATTTAAAAAGTTAATCACGTATCAAGAAACCCTATTATTTTCGGTTATTTCAATACGCAATAGAAAATGATATCAATTTTGACGTTATATTGCTTCAATCCCGACAAAAAACATATCTCTATGTTCGTCTATGAAAGACCTATTTGCAACACCAAACTTTATTTGAATTAAAGAAGTATGTAAAAAGTTATTCACGTATCAAGAAACCCTATTATTTTCGGTTATTTCAATACGCAATAGAAAATGATATCAGTTTTTGGGGTTTTACTTATCCTATCACAACAAACAATATATCATTGTTTTCGTCTATGAAATACCTATATGTATGCAAAGTTTGAGCCGGAAAGACCTAGTGACTCAATAGTTCTTCACATATCAATAAACCCTATCATTTTGGGTGTTTATTAGGTGTCAAAGTGGTGATGTCAGGGATATGACCGATGACATATGTATCATACATGTCATACGTGTCATACGTGTCATGCATGTCATACATGTCATACCATGTCATGTCATTTATTATATCATTTATTTGATTTCTAAAATACTTTTTAAAAAAAGCCAACCTCCCCCCTTTTTTCAAAAAATGATTTTCTAGTTTTTAATTTGATTTAATTCGTTTATTTTTATTTAATTGCGCTTGATTTTTTTCTAAGGCGGTTTTTCGTTCGGCCTCGGTGTATTCTTTGCTATTCAAGTATTGAGTATATGCCGTATTTGGTTCGTGAGCAGCTATTTCCGAAAGCCGAATCATATCGACTTGGAAAATTTTGGAATAAATGTTTTCCGTCATTTTCCTAAACGTTTGATTACCGACACCGATAATTGAATTCATTTTTTTGCCCAACGATGTAGATGTGAATGGTCTTGGGGGCTTTGCATTATTTTCTATATGAATCCAATGTTGATGAATACTCAACGACCAGCCTCCACAATGATTGAACCTCGTGTCGCTCGGTAAGTAGGTATGCCGAGAGAAGCTCACGTGGTTCATATCCCGATGGCGTAGTTTATAAGTCATATCTTATTACAAATAAGACGCCAATAAACGCGCAATCGGTAGTTTTCTGTAGACCGTTATATCATCCTCAAATTAAGAATTTGCAACATCCTATACAATCTAGTTTAGGTGGTATCACAATATAAGAAATGACAAGGAAAATTCATTTGTTTTATTTTCTTTTGATTACTATATAGAATGCCCAAGAAAGGTGAACCATTATCCGATGAGCATAAGGAAATTTTGGCAAAGGCCCGTGAGAAAGCGTTAGCCATTAGACGGGAGAAGAGTAAACAAAACTGCTGGAACAGTCACACCGCTTGCTTTGTGACTCTTCCTATAGTAGTGTGTATGACTGTCACCCGAACCCGAACCCTAACTGTTTATGCCCGTTATATCGGGTTAACTTATCAACTTTAATACATTCTGAGAAAACTTATCACGGAGTGAATATATCCCGAGTCCTAGGGGTATATCCAACAGGTTTGGCCCCACGCACTCTTTATTTAGACACTGCGGATTTTAGCCATGTATGTCTGGCTAAACAGCGACGCTTGAGATGGAGTGAGGGGCTCCACTAGAGGCGCGGCGGAGCGGTATGGCCTAGCTGATGCCTGGTTGATTGGATTTACGGGAAGCTTGTGCACGAGGCGGACTCATTTTCCTCGCTTCGCGTTGGTTGACGTTGGAAATTTTGGTCGGATCCGACACCACTTTCCTTGGCCGCGTCACTCTGCATCCACATGCACGTGGGGAGATCTTTACGCCGCAGCTTTCCCTTGTTTTCCTCGACAACCGCATTACGACTTTTGGCCGCCGCTCCTTCCGCACCTCGTCCCATTTTCCCTCGGCGGGAAGCGGCATCCGGCGGGCTCCACGGCGGCTTACTGCCAGCCGGTGGAGGATTGCACGACAAAGGTGCTGCACACCCTCGCCTTGTGCCGGGTGTACCAGGCAGCTGCGGACAGCGGTAAGGATGCATTCGCGGCGGCGGTGGAGCAGCACGATGCGCCCGCTGTGGTGAAAGCGGGCGCGGCATCCGGCGGTGTTGACGTCTCCACCTACGGCTTCGCCGTCATGGAGTACGACGACTCCGAGAACGACGAGCTGGACGTCCACGAGGAGCTGCGACAACTACGCTCCCACATCGGTAAGGCGGTTACCTTCGGCCAAGCCTCCGTCCCGCCCGCATCTTCACTTTCGTTTGCGGGCGTCTCTACGGAGCCGCATCAGCAGCAGGTGGTGCCACGGCATGGTGGTGCAGCTGCGACTGACAGCGGCGTTCCGGCTGGGCTCATCGCGCGCGTCTCGGTGCCGACGGAAGAATTTCCGGGCGGTGTCGATCTGGTGCCCATGCGGCACGCCGTGCCGCGCACCGTGCCTTCTGTTACGGATCGAAAGATGACAGACGCCCGCAGTCGCGATCTTGGTACGTCATCGTCGATGTCACGATTCATCTTCGATCTGTCATTATATCAGAAACTGTACGAGTACCACGGAAATGCGCGAAGATATCATCAATAGCTTCGCGCAGCTCAGTTGGTTAGAGCGTCGCACTAGAGAAGCGAACGTCACGCGGGTTCAAATCCCGTCGTGGAGCATTTTCGCCCCACGACGATATTTGATTTGACCCGGCTCGTACAGTGTAGATACCCGCACCGATTTCAAACCCTAACATTGGTATCGAAGCCCGAGTCCCGTCGCGGACGCATTTTCGCCGCGATGGATTACGCTCGACCCATCTCAAACAGTGAAAAATCCCATCACTATTTATAGACCCTAAGATTGGTATACTCGGCTCGTACAGCGAAAATCCCCGCACCGATTTCAAACGGCGAATGCGATGGCATCGAATCGTCAGGTGATGATTGTTTCTCAGAGGGGAGATATGTCACGGATCGAAAGACGACAGAAGCCCGCAGTCGCGATGTTGGTACGCCATCGTCGATGTCACGATTCATCTTCGATCTGTAATCGTCTGAGCTGTACGAGTACCACTGAAATGCGCGAAGATATCATCAATAGCTTCGCGTAGCTCAGTTGGTTAGAGCGTCGCACTAGAGAAGCGAACGTCACGGGTTCAAATCCCGCGTCCTGGAGCATTTTCGCCCCACGACGATATATGAGTTGACCCGGCTCGTACATTGAAAATCCGCGCACCGATTTCAAACCCTAACACCTTCGGTGACCCTCGGCGCGCCCATCTCCGCCGTCAATTTCTCACTTGTCGCGGCGGAGATATCATTCGTAGAGCTCGAAAAGGAATCCGAACCTTCGCAAATCGACATTCTCCTCATGGCATCGGAGGACGAGGAGGAGGAGGAGGAGTTCCCCCCTTCAGTTTACGATGAATCATTAGTGGGAGCATCTGGTGGTGCTTTGGCGGACCGCTCTCAGCAGGTGGTAGGATGCGGTACTCCACCCCTTGGCCTTCGGCCTTATCTGATTCTGCTTGCTTGCTTTCTGAGTTTGCTGAGCTTCGGCTTTGCCGGAGCGGCTGGCCTGAGTGACGGTTCTGGCGGTAGCATGCCCCCCTGGTGACTTGCAGCCGGCAGCGGTCCCTCCGACTGAGTACTGGCGGCCGGAGGGTATTTACTGGAGCCAACACACTTCGTGGCATGCCATGTGGTATCCTGGGCCGTCCCACCCACAAGTGGTGGTGCCGGGATGGGATTGGGGAGCGCCCCCTCCCGACGATGACAGCGGTGTTCCCCCTTCACCCGACTATGACCCGGAGGAGCATCACCCGCTCCCTCTTCACCCGGAGGAGCAGCCAACACTGAACGGAGACCACAATACCGGCCGCCGTGGAATTGTCTACATCGGCGACTACTGGCCGACTGGCATGGACGTCGTCTTCCCGTGACATCGGGGTGGCAACGACAACATCGCTGACATCCTTACTCAACCTCTTCCTCCACAAGCATCTTTCTACGACAACCCCTCCTTTTACGGCATCGAGCTGCACTCGGAGGGCTCTGACTCTGACTCCGCGGCTCTGGCTCTGGCATGGACGAGGTGGACTGGCAGCTGTTTCTGGATGTGTGCCAGTCTGGTGGTGAGTGGTGCACGGTAGTCCTTTGATTTCTACACCTTCTTCAATTTACTTTCGATCTTCAATTTGGCTTTCAATTTGGTTTGGTTTAAGCATCTTATCCGGTATTAGCAGTTTGCACAACCTGTTTGGCTGCAGCTGTTTGCTTCAGCTTTGTCACATGATCAGAATTGCACAGTAGGAATGCACTGGCCAAGTGCCACTAACTTGCCCTGCTGAACTTACTATATTACTGCTAGATCCGGGTGTTTAGGTAGCCAGGCAGCCCTGACAGGCAGGCTCCTGACCCCCCTGACTCAAATCCGTCCAGAGGTAGTGACAGTAGCCGTACAATAGTAGCCGTACAATAGGACTGACTGTAGCCGTAGCCGTACACTACAGTGTAGTCTGACCGACCGACCGACCGAGGTTTTAGGTTTATATTTATCTTAACTTAACACAACTTATCAAGTTATCGTTTCCGAAACCGGCGTTCAAAGTTATTCCGAGTATTCACTTCCGAGATATACCGATAGTATATCGCTACTGGGACCTATCAGTGCCTACTGCTACTTACATGCGCATACTGACATTTACTGGTATTTACGGGGACCTACAGGTGCCTACCGCTACCTACACGCACCTATTGGTATTTATTGGTATTTATTGGTATTTACCGGGACCTGCAGCCGCCTATAGGTGCTAACAAGCGCATACTGGCATTTACAAGAACCTACCGGGACCTACAGGTGCCTACCGCTACCTACTGGTATTTACCGGGACCTACATGCGCCTATAGGTGCTTACAGGCGCATACAGGTATTTACAGGGACCTACCGGAACTTACAGGATGCTACAGGCGCTTACCGGGAGGTACCGGGAGTACTGGCACGTACAGGCGGGGACAGGTTGCTACTAGTGCCTACAGGATGATATAGGCGTTTGCAGGGGAATGCCGGTGGCCACAGGCAACTATTGGAAACTGCCGGCGCTTACCGGGAGATACAGGTTATTACGTGCACCTACCGGGAGTATTGGCATCTACCGGGCAATACCGGTACCTACTGGCACATACTGGTGGGTATCGGCAATACAGGGACATACTGGAAGGTATCGGGATACCGTTTAGTACAGGCGAGTACAAGCACTTACCGTGACTATATGGATATACAGATGACTTCTTGAAGTTACAGGGGTTTACCGTCACCTACAAGAGCTTACCGTTAATTACATGACCTTGTAGGGAGTACAGGGCGTTACAGGGAGTACAGGCTAGCCTTTATATGTAATAGGGGAGAGTGTAATAGTGAGCATACGGTACGCCACAATTTTTGGAAAAAATATCCCCAGATTTTGGGTATCCCTTTATCCACCACCACCCTAATCGACGTGAGATATGTCAGGCGGGATCAACAGGAATTTTCACATGTATCCAAGCAACCCCATCAAAGAAACCAAGTCAAACACATTTCAACCTATTACATTTCCTCTTATTCTCACAAGGGACATACCATGCATGCCATGCTGATATTCTTCAAGATTTCGGCCATTTCTATCAGGTTGGTACAAATTGTGTGTGAAAGTGTTTCCCCACAAGCTGATTTTCATTTTGAATGTGTGGCATTCAGAAGACCAAAATCAAGACCAAATTCAAATTAAAAAACTGATGACAACATTGTATTCATATTTTTACCAATACGCAAACACATCAGCTGCTCCCAGCATGCACAATACACTTCTGTACAGCCACTCCGGATGTGACATGCTCTCATCACAATCTGCAAGAAATTATACAGGCTGGCTGGGTAACAGCATGTCTCTAGAAGCAGCCTCCTTAACATGCGAGGCTGGAGAACGCATCCCAACATTCACCCATTCATTGAAGCATGCCCGCCGTGCACTTCTGACCGCACCAGCATGCTCACTGGCAGAGCGCTGCAGTCAAAAATATATTGCACACAGGTAGCCAAGTGGCATCCCCGCAGCAGAGGCACCTGATCCGGGTGCCCAGTCAGCTCACTGGCCAAGCTCAGAAGACAGCAGCCGCAGCTGCTTCGGTCTGCCGCCCGAAAGGAAATGCAAGTGAAGCACCTCCTCGTCGTCCAGCACCTCCGGATTCACAGATGCAAATCTGCAAAAAGTAACGGTCATCTATTAAGTTACGATTTCAAGTAACCTACACCAGGGACAGGGCAAGGAGAGTATCCACGTCCAGAATGAGTCAGGTCTGTTTATACTGTACACCAAAAACGTACAGAAATTCACTTGCCATTGGATCATTTGAAGCACTAATCCAAACAGTTTCGAACACTTCGGCGGAGAAAGTCAGAAGTGCACACGCGGCAGCAGTCATGCGATGGGCGCACACGCGGCAGCAGTCACGTGATGGGCGCACACACGGCAGCAGTCATGCGATGGGCGCACACGCGGCAGCAGTCATGCGGGCGCACACGCGGCAGCAGTCATGTGATGGGCGCACACGCGGCAGCAGTCATGTGATGGGCGCACACGCGGCAGCAGTCATGTGATGGGCACACACGCGGGAGCAGTCATGTGATGGGCGCACACGCGGCAGCAGTCATGCGATGAGTGTGACAGTGACTGGGATCCTTCCACCTGAGGGGCACAACAGCCAGGGCTGCAAGCGTTTGAAGATGCCTACATGGTGTGCTTGCGGGCGGTGCAGGCACTACGAGGGCTCACCTGATGTGGGCAAGGTACTTGTCCGCCTCGTCGTAGTTGAAGGTGCGCACGCGGCGGCGGGCGTCCTGCGGTACATTCAGCAGCGGGATCTTCTCCGGCACCTGCAGCTCCGCCCCAGCACCGAATATATCAAAGGGAACACGCCTTCTTAGCTGGACCCCCTGCTGCTGCTCTCGTAGTGCCCAAGAGCTAGCCCAAGCCAAAACCATGAATGGGCACACAAGGCGCCTAACACCAGTCTAATCCTAAGGCACTTTGCAAACTGCGGAAGAGCGCACAGCACAAGCGCCTCTGCTTCGCCGGTGCCGTGCATGTGTGCCGAGTGAAACAGTATAACATCTGGGGAGGCGTGCGCGAACCAGCGGCGGTGTTCGGGGTATACACTGGTACTAAGTAACGCAGCAACGTTGAGCGGGCGAGATTCTAAAATGCTGACGTGGAAAAAGGCGAGGGATGTACCCGCGCTGACATGGATGTGGCGGCAACACGAGTGCCATTTGCCATCCCGGAGCTCATATCCCGCAGCTTGGCCACCAGCCGGAGCTCAGCCGCTGGGATCTGACGGCGGTGATTCTCCATCGGCTGCAATTGCACCCCTCGAGCCGGTAAGGCACCAGCTGCCACCTCCTCCCCAAATCACCGACGTCCTGCTCCCTCGTTCCCTTCTCCATAGACACTCCTCTCACGCTCCTCCCTCTTCTGCGCAGCGCAACGCGGAGCCGGCGCCCCGTCACACGCATACCTCACGGCTACCCAGTCAAGGCAGACGGGGCCCAGTATAAATCTTGTGATCCTGGCAGTACCTGATAGTGAAAGGTACCTCTGGTCGTTGGTAGTAAGTTGAAACCCCAGTTCACGCGGCGG